ATACAGGATAGGAGCCAAAAAAAGAGCGAGATGTAGAGGGAGCGAAAAGGAAAGAGCAAAGTATAAAATTGTAATCCGCTTAGTTGGCCAGCAAAATGTCTCGTGTCGTGTCCTTCTCGCCCTGCCAGCTGGCAAAACTTAATTTGCTGCAGCGCGACCGTTGGTAATTACCACATAAATTCTGAAGCAAATTGCTCCTTTAAAAAACTTTGCCCCGAGCTCAATCTTTTCGGGTGGGTGTACCCGAATAATGTTTAGACTGTTGTTGCCAAGCTGATAGTTGTTTGTTCCAAAACAGTTCACAACCTTTCTACTATTTAAAACATTTTATATTATTTTGGAAAAAAAACCGTTGTCGCTAGGGATGGTGGACTTTTTTTTCACTTCGTGAAAAATCTAATTTTGTTAGAAGAGCAAGTAAAGACCTTTATTTCTCACTGTGCATTATTATTTTTTTTGGCAAAAAAACAGCAAAAAGCATATTTGCCACTAAGAAGGTCACACATTAAAGAGATTTTCGGTTTGGCTCCTTGCATTGTCTCTTCCCATCTCCGTCGCGCCATATGCTTCTGTCTCTGTCTGCGGTCACTGGCGCTGTTAATCCCCTGCAAGTTAATCCTGCCAACCGGCCCACATCCTGACACATGTACATACATATATGTATGGGGACAAACCTAGCACTGAACTGACCGAATTATCATCGCTGCTGTTGCCGAGGAGTTGGCAAAAACATGACTAGAACTGCCGCAGGCTTAGTCTAACCAGATCGGGAGTTGGAGGGGACTGGTTGCCGGGGGAGGTTGCGGTTGGAAAATAATAGGTTTATGCTCTGCGAAATGGCAGAGGCCAAGTGATTGATATGCCCGGCATGTCGCCGTTACAGCTCCTTCCTTCTCACTCACACTCAGTCTCCCTCTCTCTGTCGCTCTATGAGCCAGAATCAGATTCATGGCCTTAAGTGCTTAATGTTTGATGTCAGTCCGTAGCTGTAAGCTGGTTTGCGAATGTGGCCCAACACTTTCATTTGGATTCATGGCAATTGAAAGAAATGTTTCGAAACTTTAAAAGTTAAGCAACACTGCGTATGAGTGATATATATGGGGGAAATTACTCATACGCACCGTTGGCCGATCAATCAAGTGGGGTTTTATCTTTTTAGTGCTTCTCAAATAAATACATTATTTATTGTGGTTAATATTTTACAAAAAGCACACCTTGCATAAAACTCATAATGATGAGCAAAGATTAAATTACTGAAACGCCGTGTGGCCATTAATAATGAAGTTACTTTTCATGGAAATCATTATTTTATAGTTTCAATTACAGATTGAAACCTTATAATTAATTAAATAAAGAATTACAAAAGTCGCTCCCTATACATCAAGTAACATAAACTTAAATACAATTACCCAACTATTCGTAGGTTGCACATTAAATTATGTTCATTTTTTATAATATCCAATGGAACCAAGAAACTTAAACTTAAGTTGCACACGCTCCAAGCTGCAAATCATTTGCATATCTCCTTATCTGACCATTTCTAATGCCCTTTGTCTGCGTCATGCACACTCAAAGAGTCCTACGATGGGAGAAGAGCTCAATGGCCCTGCAAATGCGCAAAAGGCGGAACGCTTTACTATTTTCTTTTTGCTCGGGTTTTTAATGCTGCACTTTAGTTGATAAGTCAACCATTTCTGTTCAGAGGAGCGACGGGGGAGAATGCAGGAAAGGGAGCAGGGAAAGGGAAAGCGCCCTTTGGATGACACCTGGCTGGGTGCCAGCTAATGCCGCTTCAACTGATGCTGATGGTGAAGCCGCTGCTCCGGCTTCTGCTATCCCACCTGCATTTGTAATTGCATTACAGACTACCACTACATTGGCGCCGACCTTTAGACTTCCCACTCCGGCCCACTCCCCTCCTTCCTCCCACTTCCATTTTCATTCTCACTTCAAAGCAAATCCCCTTTTCTGAAAGCGCTTGTGTGCCAACTTTAAGTGGCCCTTTGTGTTGCACGCAGCATTCGCCGATGCTAAAGTTGTCCCAAGCACTTCAGCTACGCGGCAACAATGTGGACAACTTGGGGCAACACAACGTCGCGTATACGCAACGTGGCATCCAAGCCAAGCCGTCGCGAATGGCAATTAAAATGGCAAGCCATACCGCCACACTGCCATGCTGCCAGCTGCAACATTGTGGCAGCAACCTGAAGTGCTGTGGCAGCAACTATTTTTGCATTCCTTGTGTTTTTCCAAATTCGAGACACGTCAGGTGAATAGTTCAGGGTAATCTATACCCCTTTTTGCCAGTTTTAAGCTCTTCTCGGCTGCAGGACTCAACTTGGGCAGATAATTGGTAAGCTAAAACGCTTATTGTAATCGAAACTCATCCTGCCTGGCCCTGATCCTGCCTGTCCTCCTCTCACTCCTGTGGGAAATTGCTTTTATAATTGAAATACTCGAATTACATATGGCCAGCTGGAAAACAAAATCTTCGGCTAAGCTACAAAACTGTTACACTTCACAATGTATCCTTTTTCGAACTAACTAACTACAAGCACTCTAAGATTCTTGTTTAGTTTTTCTCAGTGGTGGCGGCTGGTAGAAGATTTCTTGCTGCCAAAGACGGCTTAAAAGACAAAGAACTTGCAGCGGTAGCAGACCAGAGAAGGATTAGAAACAGGAGCGGAGGCCACTGGAGGAGGACGCATAAATTCTAATTAAAATTTGTGTGCCAGGTGGTAAATAAAACTAATTATACATGCGCAATTTTCCCTGGTGAAAGGGCGAGAGGGAGCGACTTTAAAAATGTCCTGTGGCCACCTCTCTCTCTCTCTCTCTGTCTCTCTCTTTCTGTTGGCAAATGGAAAAAGTTTTTCAGCGACTCAACTATGTCTGGCACTGAAGTCTGTTTTCGGGTTTGAGTTTGGGCTAAAAGCAAAAATTCAACACACAGACACACACACCAAAAACAACAAAGAATAAAAACCGAAAAGAGAAACTTTTGCGAAAACTTTGACCGGCAATCGGTCGATGGATTGAGAGAGAAGGTCGACGAAGGAAAGGAGTGTCCTCCGACTAGACCCGACCCAACCCGGTGGGTGGCAAATCAATGATGCAGCTGCCATAAGACCCTCTAAGCTCAATTATTGCAGGACACGAGACAAAAGCAAAACAGACACAGGCGCACAAAGGCGAGCCAAAGCCCGGTCGGCCATTGTTGATGGCTATATCGTTTGGCTATTTCCAGTTAGACGTGACTCGGACAAAGGCATTCCTTGTTGAAAAATCAAAAAAAAAAAAAGAAAGTAGACCGACACACACACAACGATTAAATTGAATATGAAAAACGTTTTATTCGCAATTCTATTTTTTATTGATCATCCATTGCCCTCAAATGTAGGCAACAAAAATTCAATTTTCCAAAAAGCCTAGGATAGCGGCTCTGTCGGCTTAAACAAAGCAAATTTTTGGTAGATTTATGCTTTCAGCCTCCCTATTTTGTTACATATATATTTTGCATGTAAGTCAAATTTAATTTACTGCTGCCAGGCCCCAAAAACTTTGATCAAAGCCGTGTTCAAAATTGCCTTTGTCAACAGGCTCTCTAGAGCCTGTGATATGTATGTGCCATGTACACATCATAGGGCAGGGATGGAGGAGGCCGAGAGCAATGTACTAAAAATTGGCAAAAGCATTGACAGGGAGGACAGGATGGGTGGAAAAAATATGGCAAAAGTTGCAGAAAACTTTTGCCTCGGTTTCGCTGGCCCTGTCTATCTATATTTCTCCCGCACACACAGGACTCTATTTTTTTTGTTGTTGTTGCTGGATTTCTGGTCGAAGTCACCGTGAAAGCGTTAAAGCGTTGGCAGGCTGGCAGGCATTAAAGCCAAGACCCTGACTGCCGTAGAGTAGGCGATAAATGTCAATTACACTTCCGACCAATAAACAAGAGAACTTCCACTAAACGGCCAGGATGTGCAGCATTAAATCCCATTAAATGCACTGCAAGGCAAAGTTCTATTGCTGACAAATTGAAGGCAGTTTGCTTTCTATATATTGTACATACTCAGATGTATGTTATGTGTTGGAGAATCGACCGAAATAAATCTACGCTTCGGTTGCTCTGTTCTGATTCCGTGTTCCCTGTCCGTAACGAGCCAAAGTGGCCCAAATGCGGATTTATGCCCCGCTCAATGATAAATTGAATTTCACTCAAAATTAACTGTAAGCCGAGGCGAGGAACGTGCCACCCGAAGAAGCAAAAATGCTTGCAACATATGCGGCCTATAAAATGTGACAAGGAAACTAACGAAGGGCCGTTGTATCCTTGTGGCTTTGGCTAAGACAACATACACACATCCATATGTACCATACATATAGACGAATGTGTGTGTGCGACCGCAACCTCCGAATGAAATTAGGCCAAAACCCGGGCGAGGGCTAAAAGCTGAGAGCCGAACCGAACGCCACTTGGCTTGACAATTGCCTAAGCATATTTGTCATTTGATTGATTTATTCTGCAGGGCCCACAACAGCTGCCATTAGCCTGGCCAAGATGGCTGTTATTTGTTTGCTTTGCCTTCGCTAAGGCGCTTTTGTCAAATCAAATCTTCATCGCTTTCATTAGGCCCCAGATTTCCATAATTTAGCAGGCCCAAAAGCCAGTCCTAAATCTACAACTGATTTCGATTTTGCGAGTTCAGATCTCTCCCGACCAATTTTAGACACAATCCTGTGAGTTTGTACTATCTAATATTAGTTGTAAGAATTTTCTCCAGTGTGTATAAGGTGAGGTGATACAAACTCTTTTTCTACCGGCATGCAGGTCAGGTTTTCTTTTTTTTTTTTGGTGAAAGGTGAAAGTGGCATTGGTAGTGGAACTAGTGGTGGGTCTACATTTTTTTGGTGGCGGTACTTAACTTCTGTGGCAGGTGCTAGACTTTGTTTCGAGCCCGTTTCGAATAGAATCGGAAATTGGAAATTCAAGGCACACTCACCTGTTGAGTAGCGCGGCAGTGGCGCATCCCCGGCGGCGATGCAGCCGCCATAGGAGAAGTGATGGCTACTGGATCCGGTGCCGGAGACCACGGCTATTTCGTCCAGCTCATGGCCGGGCGAGGTGCCGGCGGATACCAGCCGTGTGGAGGAGGTCGCCGAGTTGCCTTGCGAATTTTTGCGTCCACGTAGCGAGAGCACCAGCCTTTTGGCTGTGGACATGCCCCCGATTATTGTTGATGGTTGGTCGGTCTCTCCCCTCTTGCCACTGCAATTAAAATAAATTAAAATTCAAAATTGTTAAAATTTGTACATTTTTTGTTTTTGGCTGTGGAAAGAAATGGTAAATGAAAATGCGAAACTTTTTCAATATTCCCATAGCGTCTGGGTGCCTTCGCTATTTATTTCGTTAATAATTTAGAGAACAGAGCTTCTTCAAAAGATATGATAATTTCTTCGTAGAACGACGGAGGGAGGAGTGGACTGCCGAGGTCCTCCGTCTCCGTCGGAGAGCTTGGAATTTTCATTTTCATGCTTTGCCAGCTCAAGACAGCGCCACAGACGGGAAGCTTCTTAAATTATGCAAATGCTCGCAATCAAGGCTAAAGAAATGCCACAAAACAACACAAAGCAACAAAAAAGAGGAGAGGACAGCGCACAGAATGATTGCGACATGGAAAATATGAATGGAGATATTAGCATATGAGGAGATAGGGTAATGACGCTGCGTTTAATGGCTTAAACATGAAACTAAAATCCCTTGAAAAGAGCGTTTAAGTATCCGTTTAGGCCAGCTTAATCATTGACTATTTCCTGTAATGCTAATGCGTCTTCTTCAGATCTCGCATTAAATAATATTCCGAAAGAGCTCACAACGCTCTGCGGTGGCTTGGATTCTGTTTTTTTTTCCAAGATTTTATCGTAAAGCCGCTTAGCTGCAAAAGACACTAGCAAACAGCAAATGATAGACACGAGTATTCAGAAACCCCAAATACACACTGAATACCAAAAACACGGCCTCCCACTCTACACTTCGTCCTTTTTCCTTATCATTTTAATATTTAATAAGCAATGCGCAGCAGGAAAAAAGGCGAAAGGGCCAAAAGCGAATGAAATGAGGGGAACTCAACTCAACAACGTCTCTAAATATTCAGTTGAGTGTAAACTTGATAAGTTGTCTCTCCAGGCAAATGTTCAACATATGCTGGGTGACTGAGGGATGGCATATCCTTCGGTTGTGGCTGCGAAACCGGAGTGGGTAATGCATATTATTCTATTCCGATATTTACATATTATGCCACTTTAAATGACTCCGCTGGCTTTAAACTCTTTTGGTAAATGCCAGTTGACTGGGCGTATACGTAATACCCTCCTCCACTTGCCCACAAAGGAAAAAAAAAATGTAACACACATCCATCCTAGCTTCCTTTTTGAATACGTGACGAATAACAAATTTGTGGGATTTTGCAGCATTTTGATTGAATGTTGTCGGCGCTGCGGGAAATTTTCCAAAGTGGGAAGAAAGCGGCGGACGAGATCCAAATACAAATATGATTTATGGGCCGCAGCCTGCAAGCCAATCGTATACGTACATCTATATTGGGGGAGCAACTGCAGATGTTGCACAAACCCGGATCGGAAAAATACAGATTCAATATCGGATTAGGATTTAGGAGGGGGAAGATGATGCTTAAGAGCTCGTGCTTGACTTATTACACATCCGTTTTGCAGGCTCCCAGTTCCCACACCCCTCTATTATGCAAAGGCCATTAAAATTATTGGAGGCCCAAGCCCGGAGAAACACTCTGGCACCTATCCAGTTGCCAGTTAGTCCTGGGCAAAGCCCAAAAGGCAATCAAGTGTTGCCAAAACCAACGTAAACACGAAAATTGCCAGGAAAACCAAACTCAAAAACTTTCAAATCCCCACAAAAAAAAATAGAAAAAGGAACAGAGACATTTTATGACAGCGTCCTGGCGGAAAACACAGAGAAAATTCAGATAGCTAAGGACTCCGAGATCTCAGGCAATTGTTTGCATTGTGCAAGTGTCAACAGCATTTGCAATTCCGTTGCAATTTTTAGCATCTTTTCGGGCTTTTGTTGCAAAGTAACCCAAAAGGTGGAGCAAAAAATTGCATTTGTGCCCAGTCCTCCACACAGCTCCAGTTTTTTTGTTTATCCTGTTCTACGAAAATATGGTAATTCCGGCTATCGAAGGTGGAAAAACAATTTTCATAGCATTCCCCAGTTCCCAGGGCACATGTCCAATCACCTATTCGCGGAGTGGCAGAAGAGCTTAGCCAATATTGTTACAACCGCATCGGTTATGCATATAGACTTAATAAATATAGCATATATGCTGGTAAATACGAAATCGAAAATGCATATATCTGCACAAATAAGAAACCAATTTCGATGTCACATGGAAACGATGTTTTGTGCAGTTGCCGCTCCAAAGCTGACAGCATTTAATTGCCTTTTGTGCCATTCGAGCTGCATCAGCAAAAAGTAACGAGCTTTTGTTTTTAGCTAATTAATGCAACCCTCTTCCGAAATAATCCCCTAAACCAGCCACTCCGCCCCCAATTCATTTGTCCAGCTCACATTGCAAAGGCGAGCGACAGCTCCGTGCATAAAAAATGAATCGCCATCAATCTCGCGCTCACCCAAAACACTGCCAGGACACAAGCCCGCACAGAAATGACGAAAAAAGGCTACTAATTAGAGCCAAGAGTCGCGATTCTAAGCACACGACCACAAACGACAAAAAATGTGCGCAAAAAACCATCTCTATGAAAGCCATGCGAAGCTGATGCCAACAGTGATAATGCCCTTTCCCAGGGCATATTCCATCTGATTAAGCCAAGTGCGCATTTGTCACACGAATTTGACAGCATCCGGACTCCGGAGCGGGGAGCGGGATTCAGGGGATTGGCATGCGACGAGCTGACAAGTTGCCATGAACAGGGACAAGTTGATGGAACGCGATCTCGGACACCGGAAGCGGCGACCACAATTGATGCCCCTAATTACAGGCTTCCATTGGACAAGGGAGATGGAGGAAAATACAATTCGGGAGAAGCAAAATCCATTTTCTCTGTCGACGAGTAATCTAATTAAAGGTCTGAGCCACTCAGGTGAGAGTTGCAAAACAAATAATCAAAGGAACACAACGTATTTCCTTCCACAGAAGTGCTTTACTATAAACTTCCATCGAAACTTATTCCAAAATCCTGGACGACGCCCCATAACGCCAAAAATCCAGGATAGGCACATATTTGCCGATTCGTTTTTCAGTTCTAATTTCCCAATTCTAATCCGCTTCTCAAGCGGAGTACCTTAAAGGATTTCTAGATCGATTCTGCACCATTCTACATCAAAATCCTGCGGCAAGATATTTTTTAGATTTTTTGTCCATTTTTCGTGATAGGATCCCTTGGAAATGGGGTTTTCTCCTATACGGCCAACAGTGATGGCTATATCTTCCCCAATTCTTATCCGATTCTCAAGCGGAGTACCTTAAAGGATTTCTGGATCGATTCTCCACCATTCTGCATCAAAATCGTGAGACAAAATATTTTTTAGATTTTTTGTCCATTTTTCGTGATGGGACCCCTTGGAAATGGGGTTTTTCCCTATATGGGCCAAAGTGATGGCCATATCTTCCACAATTCTTATCCGATTCTTAAGCGGAGTACCTTAAACGATTTCTAGATCGATTCTCCACCATTCTGCATCAAAATCCTGAGACAAAATATTTTTTAGATTTTTTGTCCATTTTTCTTGATATCCCTTGGAAATGGGGTTTTCTCCTATATGGCCAACAGTGATGGCTATATCTTCCCCAATTCTTATCCGATTCTCAAGCGGAGTACCTTAAACGATTTCTAGATCGATTCTTTACCAGTCTGCATCAAAATCCTGAGACGAAATATTTTTTAGATTTTTTTTCCATTTTTCGTGATGGGACCCCTTGAAAATGGGGGTTTTTCCCTATATGGGCCACAGTGATGGCTATATCTTCCACAATTCTCATCCGATTCTTAAGCGGAGCACCTTAAACGATTTCTGGATCGATTCTTCACCATTTTGCATCAAAATCCTGAGACAAAATATTTTTTAGATTTTTTGTCCACTTTTCGTGATGGGACCCCTTGAAATGGGGTTTTTCTCTATATGGGCCACAGTGATGGCTATATCTTCCACAATTCTCATCCGATTCTCAAGCGGAGTACCTTAAACGATTTCTAGATCGATTCTGTACCATTCTGCATCAAAATCTTGAGACGAAATATTTTTTAGATTTTTTGTCCATTTTTCGTGATGGGACCCCTTGAAATGGGGTTTTTCTCTATATGGGCCACAGTGATGGCTATATCTTCCCCAATTCTCATCCGATTCTCAAGCGGAGTACCTTAAACGAGTTCTAGATCGATTCTGCACCATTCTGCATCAAAATCCAGAGACAAAATATTTTTTAGATTTTTTGTCCATTTTTCGGATTCTCAAGCAGAGTAAACGATTTCCGGATCGATTTCTCTTCTTTGTGCATTTAAATCCTTAGACAAATTATTTTTTAGATTTTTTTTATCAGTATATTTTCAATTTTGCTAATGGTTTCTAAACATTTTCTGGTAATATGTCTCCCAACATGACCCCTGAAATATCTTTACGATCTTTACGAGCTCCGATATACACAAATATAAAAAAGGTGGCATTGAGTCAGTAATCAGTACACATCTACCAATATAACACAGCAATCAGTATATACATATATTGATTCAGCAGTACACATCTTCCAATATAACACCTGTATGCAACATTATCATTATAATAGTTATAGAACACTACATAATCATGCGGAAATTTATGTTTCTTGTGGTTTTAGCTGTAATGGTAAGAACATTATAAGCCGTGTTAACACGCACTGACCCATTTATTGTTCTTAGTGGTATGTCGGACACACCAGAACTATTCCCGTCCCAACTGAGCCGCCTAGTGCCCCGGCCAGCAACAAAAACTCAACGGCTAATGCCACACTGGAAGCAGCTGCACCTAAAGCTACCACCTTTGATGCTCCAGCTATTAAATCAGTTGTGATACATATCCCCAGAAAGCGGCGAGAATGGGAACCTACCATTCCTATGAATTTCAGGGCGGTTCATACGCCCTGCGAATTTGACCTTCATCCGGAAGTAATCTACAAATATAACTGGTTCTGGGATGGCTGGGACTATAGGGAATATGATTGGAATAGAGGCGAAACACGGAATTGTGTGTGGTTTTATAGTATGCGATACTCCTCCGAGGGCTTCTACCGGCTCTACTCTCTCCTTAGACTGGAGGCGTTCTTCTTTGGCAGTTATTCGGAGCGTCTGTACCGATATGAGTACGACTTGCACTTTTTCGATTACTGGAATGTTAAAATTCCACCAAAGAAACGAGAAGTTGGAATATTAAACAAATCATTGAATGGTTCTTTACCTCTTCTGAAGCGTGTGCCCGAAATTCCCTCCATTCCAAAGCTAAAACGTTATCACGTTACCAGTTAAACGTTATCAGTTCACTATTAAATGACTTTATCTCTCAGCTAATATGGTTAGTGATTTTCTTAAATATCCCAACCTGACGGCAGGTTTATTATTCTTTAAGATCTTTGAGGGCTTCTTGGCAGGACGGGAATCTCCAACATGTTCAATGCAGGCGGAAATTTGATATTTTTGAAAAGCTTTTCCGTTGTTTGTCCTGTCGGAAGGATGGTGGGTGGGGAGCGCTGTGTTACTGCGGAGTAGTAGCTGCTGTTCGGTTCTCAATGGCTAGAGACAAGCTGTCGGCAACTGATAAATATATTTATTGATATACCTCCATATACAATTTTTATGCTTATATTGTCGAATAATATTTACAGAATTAAGTAAGTTCTTTCTTTTTAATTGCGGATCCGGTTCCATTGTGGAACCCCTTGCGAAATCCAGGATATCCATATATGGCCCAGTAGTATGTCCATAACTTTGGCCACCCCAAAGCGATTGTATTTCTTTACCCTATCTAGATGAAAATACTCTAACTCCAAATTGTTTCTAATTATTTATTTAGCACAAAAAATGTGCATTACAATAAATGTTAAATATTCAGTAATAATACGCTATCAGAGCAAGTCAAGTGGTAACATCCGTTATCGTAAAACCCATCAAAGACTGAATAGAGTTGAAAATTGCCTTTAATTCGAAAGGTAAACAGGGTTTCCAATAACTCTGCAATTTGCATCGAACTAAATTCCGATGTGCCTCGCCTGGGTCATCGATATGCCACAAATAGCGCCACCAGCCGCACGGCCGTCACTTGTTACCCTCCCCGCCCACCACGGTCCACTCTCCACTCGGCATGCGACCCGCAGACCCCGTCAGCCACTCATTCGTGCAATTATTTCAGCCTCGACTCGTTGCCACATTTTCCATGCAAATTAATGCAGCTGCATTTGCTCTGGATCGCCCCTTCATTTGCTTATTTCTTTTATTTTCGCTCGTGTGTTATTATTGCACTTTAATCTCATATCAATTTCAATCCCCCCACCACCCACTCTTCACTCCCCGTTTTATATGCATTTTATTGTTGCAATTATCGGTGTGGTCCCTTGTTGCCATAAAATGTATAATTGAGCAATTTCGTTTGGAATTTTTGCGATTTTCTAATGTTGGTATTCCATGTCGGTATTGGTATTGCCGCTGGCGGTAAAAATATTTAATTGTAACCACATTTTTGGGCTTTTGGTTAATTCTATTACGATTACCCGCCCCTTTTGCACACGTCTGTACTTTTTCCGGCCTTGGGCGGCGCAACTATTCGTGGAAGCTGCAAGACGACCGCCTTTGTGTCGAATCGGTAGTTATTCCGGTGCATCTTGGAGACCGGGCAACATGGTGCACGAGCTGCAATTTATAACTGCACATACGTGAGCAGTAAGCCAGCCAGGAGTAAGGATCTCCCCCATTTTCGCACCAGCCCTCCACTACTTTTCGCGGGGCCCCGTGGCATATAAACATTTTGTTAGCTCCGCTTTAGTTCGTCCCAGCACGGCTGCCCTCGTCTTTGTGCTAGGTGCCCGCATCCTGCTAGTCCTTACCCCTACCCCTACCCCTACCCCGACCCACTTTTATATATCCTTAACCCCCGGAAGCCCGGCACTGATGGCGCTACAGTTTTTGTGATTCGACAGAGCGCAAATAAACAAAAGGGTCGCGGTGTTTCGTGCGAAAAGCTGGGGAAAAAAAAGGAAAAACAAAATGAAAATGAAAAACAACTTGGAAGCAAGAAAGGACGAGAAAAATGTGTAACCTGCACATTCAGTTGCAATACCAGTGGTAGCTCTACACTTCCAAAAACCATAAATCTCTAGACAGTCTTTGTTGTTTATTTTTGGGTTTCTTAATCAAACGATTTCTCGCCGTGCAGATCGGTGCTGTGCAACAAATTTTGCTGGCACAGCATACAAAAATATATGCCAGCCCAGCAAGGATGCCAGCAAGGATTGGAGCGAGTGAGCAGATTGCGAAAGGATATTTCACTTTATTGGCAAAGTCGAAGATGGAATGCGCTTATACACGTATTCGCAGGATACAGGACGGCAAGTGACAGCGACAAGTTATTGCCCCACGCCGGCATGCAGGGCCAGTAGAAAGGGTCCTGGCTGCCTGGATGAGGGCATATCCCCGCTATAATATGGCCAAAGGATGTATGGCACCCATATTGGGTGCTGATTGTCCACGGGGATTGCCTTGGCGAAAGTGCCAGCCAGACACCATTCATCAGCTACCTGGGCTACCTGGGCACCCACATTGTACTCCTTGGAATCGTCAATCTTTCGGGTGTCCTTCGCTTGGCTTCTGTTTCTGTTTCGGCTACAGTTTCTGTTTCTGGGCTGGTTTCGGTTTCTCGTTTCTGGCTTTGAGTGAGTGACAGGCGGCTGGCTTTCGTTTCGGGTGCCTCCTTGTGCTTGGCTTTAATTAAGCGTCCCATTTGGCCAGAAATTGCATCTGCAGCAGGTACACACAATTCGCCGGGGAAATATTTGCATTTCATGCAGTCCTCAAGCTTCCCTCCACCCCACAAGCCCACCAGCCCACACTCCAGAGCAAAACGTCGCAAAGCGTTGCCTGGGAAACGTGAATTTAAGCTTGAGGTTGAGCTGTCGAGTTGTCATAAGCAGAAGCCGCTTCCCACGACCCAAGACCCTCGACAATTGCCGGGCTTAATTGGATGCAAAATTAACTGTTAAAGCATTTAGCGCTCCCAGAAAAGGGGGGTGGGGGTGTCGTGGCGGCTGTCTAGGTGCCAGCCTGGTCAGATTTCATTGGTTAGCCAAAAGCCACAGGATAGACAAGTAACGAGATATATGTGAACACGGCATTTCGGCCAGGACCTGTCATACTCAGACTCTCACGACGTTTAGTGGCTACAAAAATTTAATTGAAATTCGAATTCAATTTGCCTAAATTTTTTCCCCTAAAAAAACGATTTAATGTTTTCTCAAACGTCTTCTTAATCGTTTCCCTAAAAATTCAATTAAAGTGCGGATATCAATGTCGTAGACAGAGGACTGGCAATATTTCATCATAGTTGGCCTGGTTTGGGCCCTGCTTCTTGTTGCCCTGCCAAAACATGCGTGTCAAAACAATTGTCATTCATTCTGGTCCCGATTTCGGATCCTGATACCTCCCCGTCAGCCGCCTGCTCTTGCAATTATGTCCCAGAGACATGTGTTAACATCCAGTCCCCGGGCCCGAGCCCGGGTCCGTAGTTCAGACCCTTCCACATACACGTATCTGTGAATTACTATTCTCTGGCGTCATCCGCCCCCATCTCATTCAACATTTCCGCCAGATATTTTTGCCCATTTCCTGCAGCCTTTCAGCTTGAAATCAATACGTGGCGGCCTGTGCGGAGGCTAGTCCTGCCATCGAGTCCTTGATTACTGCTGTCATATTATTTTCACACTTGAAAAGCTGCCCGGCTCTGCAATCATCGCGATTTGATCTGGTCGGGGCTTAGGGTCATTATCGATACTGGCCATTAGGCGGCACTTGAGCTGCCAGCGTTTCTGTCATGTCCTAACATCCTGTCACCCTGCTGTCAGTAAGTGAGCAAAGCAAGCCTAGAGATGGCTCTCCCCAGTTGTCGTTTTTAATTCATCATATTCCATGTTACCCCAAGCTGTGCACACCACACACCACACACACACACCCACACTCGACGCATCCGGGATGCAGCTCAGCCAAAATTTGGTTCTCTTGGGGATTCTATGTGGCATGGTGGTGAGTGAATTGCCACAGCTTAGAATAGAAGATAAAAACTCAGCATTGCATTATAGATGCCGATGGATGTGGCGGGGAAATCGGTGCCAGTGGCGAAGCAGCAGCTCTCAGGTGGCTCCCAAGCGGAGCCGGCAACTGACACCGGTGTCGTCCAGCTGAGACACATCAAGCGGCAGGCCAACAGTGTCCCTGTTATGCCGATGGACCTGCAAACGAAGCATGCACCGTGCGACATGGACTCCAGGGGCGCCACAAGCTACGTCTTCGCCTTTCCCAACCACTGCATCTGGTCGTACAACAATCGATACCTCAGCGAGGGTCATTACCGCGTCTACAAGATCTACCAGTTGGAGGCGTTCTTCTTTGGCCAGTATCACGAACGCATGAAGCGGTACGAGACCGACCCACACACCTACGACTACAGCCTAACGTAGGTTGTAGGTCCATCAACCGACAGCCTAAAGCTTCAAGAAAAGCTAAGTATTCGAGATTTGAGTATTCAACTCCAAATTGATGTGGCACAGTCTTAAATTGATTCGAATTCTATGAGATAAAATTGTAAATAATAGTAAATTAAGTATCCTAGACTAAATTATTAAGTGTACAGTGTATTAAAAATTGGCTGAAAATGTGTCTTTTAACTTGTCTTTAGAAAGATCTTTACGATCTCCTTTCAAATGATATACATGGTAAACCATCTTGGGGTAACTGATGTTTTTATTGAATAACTTTCTTAACCAAAGAGCCGAAATTGTGATATTTCCAAAATAATTCCTCAGTTACGCTTGCGATAAAGGGCAATGATATGCGAATTTTTCGAACCTGAGATAGGTGGAATAAATATGGAATGGAGTACTTTTGTTTCGCTAACCAAATTTAAATAAAATGAATGATCGTAGATCTTTTTTGCTTTCTTTTCTGAAAAAAACTTCTACCACCATGGCGCTCCTTATATAGCTTCGATATACACAAATATTAAACAGGGTGGCATTGAGTCAGCCATCAGCTGGCTCTACACGTTATCTACACGTTATCAATCGTTATATACGTTAATATACGTTATACGTTTATAAGATAATACTCTTAAAACACTACATAATCATGCGGAAATTTATGTTTCTTGTGGTTTTAGCTGTAATGGTAAGAGCATTATAAGCCGTGGTAACATGCACTGACCCATTTATTGTTCTTAGGGGTATGTCGGACACACCAGAACTATTCCCGTCCCAACTGAGCCGCCTAGTGGCCCGGCCAGCAACAAAAACTCAACGGCTAATGCCACACTGGAAGCAACTGCACCTAAAGCTACCACCTTTGATGCTCCAGCTATTAAATCAGTTGTGATACATATCCCCAGAAAGCGGCGAGAATCTGAACCGACCATTCCCATGGATTTCCTCGCGATACATACGCCCTGCGAATTTGACCTTCATCCGGAAGTAATCTACAAATGGAACTGGGAATGGAGGATTTATGATTGGAACAGAGGCGAAACACGGAATTGTCAGTGGTTTTATAGTATGCGATACACCACCGAGGGCTTCTACCGGATCTACTCTCTCCTTAGAATGGAGGCGTTCTTCTTTGGCACTTATTCGGAGCGTCTGTACCGATATGAGTACGACTTGCACTTTTTCGATTACTGGAATGTTAAAATTCCACCAAAGAAACGAGAAGTTCAAGTATTGAAATGATCATTGAATGCTTCTTCTCCTTTTCTGCGGCCTGTGTCCAAATTTTCAAAATTAAAAAGTATTCACATGTCAGTTTACTATTAAATGTCATTATCTCTCAGCTACGATGGTTAGTGCTGCCGGCAGGTTTATTTTTCTTTAAGATCTTTGGGGGCGTCTTGGGGGCAGGACGGGAATCTCCAACATGTTCAATGCAGGCGGAAATTTGATATTTTTGAAAAGCTTTTCCGTTATTTGTCCTGTCGGAAGGATGGTGGGTGAGGAGCGCTGTGTTACTGCGGAGTAGTAGCTGCTGTTCGGTTCTCAACGGCTAGAGACAAGCTGTCGGCCACTGATAAATATAAATATATTTGTTGATGTACCCCCATATACAATTTCATACGTATATTGTTGAATAATAATATTTACAGCATGGCGTAAGCTCCCTTTTGTTTTAATTGCGGATCCGCTCATTAACTCTGATGGGACACAATCAATCAAGTCCTTCATTGGGCCAAAAGCAAACAAGGTGCAACGCCTTAAGTGAATTGGATGCTGGGTAGCCGATTTTTATCTGCCAAATTCCTTCCTTCTCGGATAGCATTTGTGTGTAATTTGTAATTTTACGAATCATCAATCAGCTGTCGTCAGCTGTCGAGCTGCGATTTTGTAAGGGGGAATGATTCCGATACGGTTCCACTTTGATTTATCGATGACTTGGCAAAACGAAAAGTTTTCTTTTTAATTACAAGTTGGTCACGAGGCTGTCTCCTATTAGATGCATCTTTTTTTTTGTATTACCTTTGTAATTAACAAAGGTTATTTCATCTAACTCTGAATCCTGAAACAGCAACCTTGAAGTATCCTGGCCTTTTTGGTTTATTGTGTAACAAGTATGGAAGAAAAAATTAAACAATTTCTTATTTAAGAGCTTCTAGACTCTAGAGGTGTTTTCTTTTTAAATTAATATTAAATTACAAAATCCTTGCATTCATATTTTGAGCGAAATCCGCTACTCAGCCATAATTCTATGCCGAAAAGCTTTTCGGCCAAACGGCCATTTGCGTTCTTCTGCTTTCGGCCAAGAAGCTTTATTTATTTATTTCCGGAAACGTGCCCTTGAGATTAAAGTAAAACCCCACCCTCCCTTCAAGGAAGTGCTCGGCCATCTGTATGTAAATATCTATATAGTATATACACAGATACAGCTACATCTGTATTTCTATCTGTATCTGAGTATCTAAGTATCTGCTTAGCTGAGTATCTGTGTGTTGTTCATTTGTTCATTACATTTTCCGCGCGTGTCTGGGTGTTTTTTTGGTCAGAGTTGTTCCAAAGTTTCAATACCCACTGCGCCGCCATTTGGCTGGGCGGGTATGCGGTGTCCACTGGCCACGCCCCCTAAGTGGGTCCTAGGCGATGGCGGTTCTCTTGGCTTTAGTCGCTTGTCTTTTGACCATTTGCGCGCCTCTAATGAAAACACAATAAAAATTTTTCGCTTTTCTGCCTTCCCAAGTGGCTGTGAAATTTTTGATGAGTTTGTCAGCTTGTGGGAATTGCGCCAGCCGCCCAGGATATACGTAGCCGCCTGTCGCTTCAGCTGTCGCCGGCCGAATACTTATTAAGTGAACTGTGCCCTCTTCGCTTCACAATTTTCTTCAATGTAATTAAGCTTCTGCTCCTCGGGAGCAGTCCGGGATCGAAGGCCAGAGTGCGTCCCCCTGATGTTGCGCGATAATTATTCGATGATTGCACAACACACTTTAGACAATGAACTCGATTCTAGTGGCACTTGGAACAGAGGGGCTTCAGCTTGGGCAGGACTACCATGGCTAGGCAATAATTCAATTAGTCTAAAGTAAATTCCTAGCCTATCTGTGGGAAAAAGTCAATAAACAACTTCATCTTGCGATCTCTTGTGTAAAGTTTTGTGACAAAGTTTCCAGCTTTCCATTTTATTGATGGCCAATTAGTTGGCTCAAATGGCAAAAGTCATCTAAAGTATTTATGGCCGGGCATGTATTTCTAGCAATTTGTGTTGTCGGATCCGTCCATCAAACGGATCGCTTGGCTGCAAACATACACCACGGAATGAACGTATATATTTCACCTTAAAATCCAGTTCGCCATCTAAACCTATCCCTCAATCGGTCCTGTTTTTATTTTTTTTTGTGTGAAACTGACACGTTGCTGCTCCGAGGCGCAAATCTCATTTCCCTTGTGGCGGCAGAAACCACTGGAAAAAAAAAACTTTGTGCGCGGCTTCAACCCCCAGCTTTTTTGGGGGTAACCCAATTTGGTGGCCAGTGCTCCGCTGCTTACGTCACAGCTTCGCACCTCGCACAACTGCCTTTCTGTGTCACACACACATACACACACGTTCGCTCGCTCACCCATAGCCTCTCTACATTATGGCCAAAAAGTGAAGGAAACAAAACAACAAAATGGCATGGGAATGAGAGGCATAAAAAATGGTAACAAAATTACATACATCAAAGGTGTTTTTTTTTTTTGCCCTTCTTTTTTTTTATGAATATCCGAGTGTGTGTGCGTAGGGGCGGAGCAGGGGGGATGTCCTTGCGGGAAGAGCATGTTGTTTAAGGGTTGGCTGGGGACCGTGATGCTGTTGTTGCTTTCGCTGACCAATGGTCCATGTAATTTTTTGGCAAGCATCTCCTCGCATATCAGCGTACTTGTGAACCTTTTGTGGAGCCCCCTTTTCCCTTTTCCCGGTCAGGCGATTGCTTTTCCATGTTACCTTGCCTCGTATCTCATCCACATTTATGATGAATGTGCGGGTCGCTTGGTTGCTCGGCTGCTCTTCTGCTCTTCTGTTTTTCTGCCCAAATAAACTTGGCAAATATGCGGCCTTAGTTTAAAGCCAAAGCACGCGCCGATTGACATCATTAAGCCCGACCACCCGGCACTAAATCATGGTCTCGGCCATCCAAAAAATACATATTCCACATACTATACTATGTATATGACAAAAAGTGAATGCACAACTTAATGAATGGCACACATGGGAAACGGACTTTGTCTACAAAAAGTAGACGGCGAAAATATAAAGGGCTGTGATTTATGCAAACAGTTTCCAGCGATAAAAACTAAATGGAAAAGGCCTCGCAAATTATCCTATTTTCAGATATATTTCCTCTATTGTTTAAGGAATTACGGCGAACAAAAGTCAAACAAGGTGAGAAGGACATAGAGTAATACAAATCCTGTGCTTTTCACCCAATTCGATCCTTAAGCAAACGGAACTCAATCAAGTTGTTAGGCGAGCATCCATGTTTATGCCTCTCCAGATTCTCTCAGATTGCTCGGAATGCTTCTATAAACAAGCCCTGCCACTAAGGTTGTAAACTTGATAAAACCGAGAACCGAAAACCCCCAAATATACGTTCGCCCGCCCCACATCCAGCCAGATGCTATCCGCAAATATGGAAGGACCTCTGTGAGTGTGTGTCCTTGCTTGCGTCTTGGTTATTGATAGTGCTTCAATCTGAGGAAATAATAAATAAATGAGCCTAACGTCACGGCTCATGTCGTTGGCCCACCTACGCTTCACCTCCCCCCTGTTGCTATACAATAGGTACAACACACACACATACCCATACCCATACCCATACACACTCATTCACTCAGGACATTTCCTCTTATGCTGGTGCTGATGTGGCTGCTCCTGTTTTCCATTTTCATTCTTTGACTCTCCCCGTCAGTTTCTCAATTTCCCTCGGAGCTGCCAACATTTTTCACATCTCTGCTGTATGTTTGTTTGTGCTTCGCATCCCATCCCCCCTCCCAGTATGGGCATATTTATATATGGCTGTGTGTTCGTTCATGTGTGTATGTGACGTATACGCAACGTGTGCCATATTTTTACATGGCCGGCGGGCAACAAGAACTGCGACTGGGACTGAGACTGGGGACTGGGACAACAGGCCGCCTGCAACTGACAGGCCGCACTGCCTATGACGACTGCCATGGGCCAGCATTTTCTTCAGTTATTTAGCGCTTCTCGCAGCGGTTTGTCTGCCTCTGCGCTTTCGCTCCACCGTCCCCCTGCTCTTATAAGGAGAAAATTGTTTTTATATTCCCGAGGCCCGCCTCCTCCTCCTCTGACATCTCAATTTGTAGACAATGTTGTGCAGTTTGCTTCGGAGCTTACAAGTTTCTTATTGCAATGCAAATTAACATTTTTTCACAGCGCACACAGGACCTACGTACAGACACGCACTCGTGAAAAATTTCATTAACATTACGTATACGACCCGCCGTTCACAGCGTCATTAAGTAATCTGTTTCATTCGAGGCTGCTGTCGACTGCCGCCTACCGGAGCCCTGGGTTCGGGCACCTGTCCATAAAATGCATTAATCAACTGTCTGGCAATTTACTCCACACACTCATATCAGGGACTCTGGTAAATTAAGCGTTGGTGAAAATTTCAACTTATTCGGATAGCACATATTTTATATTCCAGCGCTGATGCACAAAGAGAATGAGCTAACTAATAGCATTAAAGGACATTCGCACGCATAATGCAATCTAAAGAGCTGAAAATTGAGTCGGTGAAAGGACGAAAATATATATATACATATATATATATATATATGCATATCAAGACTGGATGTTTAAGCCTTCATCTGTAAAGACAATCTATCGCTGGCTGCCAATTCGTTTCGGTTTTTGGCAGTTTGAATGCCATTTTATCGCCACTCACAAAAAATATATATTTCTATCAGTTAAAAGAAAACACTTCTGACATTTTCATGTATTATTTTTATTATGGCCCCCGACACCCACACATCCGACACTCGGGCGTTTAAATATTTCAGACATATGTAATGCCCCCGTATCCAGATCGAGAGCCGGGCTGTCTCTGCCAGTTTGCTCTTCGGCTGTCATTGCTTTTAAAAACTTTATGACACTTGGCCGATTTTTTGCCATTTTCATGCAAATATTCCAATAAGGGTGGACCATTACAAGAACTTCATTTAAAAGTATATATACTACAAGATTATTAAACCATTTTAATACTGATTGAGATAAGAAATTGGAGATAATACCAAGTTAAGCCTTGTGTATCGATTAAAGATCATCCAAGAACACTCATATAG